TTCATCAAGCTTCATCTGCTGGCCATTCTCCACTGGATTCGAACTCTCTCATCCGATCATCATTCCGGATCGTAGCAAAGTCATTAACCGCAAATTTCTGATCAGATCTGAACTTCGCTAATGTGAACGCATTAGATCTGGATTAAAGCTTAGCTGAATTTCGACCGTGATTGGCCGGATCTAAATTACTCCGGCAATGAACTCACCAAATTCAGCAAACTCAATAAATCTCTACTGCACAACTCACCAAAACAAGCACAAATCAAAACTATGTAAATCGAACGCCAACCTCTCAAAATCAACTGGAATCGAGATTCGGCCAGATAAATCACGATTTCACCGATCTTAATTCAGCCTTCAGCGATCAAGCTTTGTCTTCACAAACTACACTGGATCGAATCAATCTGAATCAAACATCAATCAATCCTTATCGAGTTCCCACAGACGGCGCCATCGAAGATGCAAGAATTTTCTTTCTCTATCTTGACAGAGTTTCATTACACTTCAAGAAATTTTCCTCCCCATCTCCACTATCTTTTTCCTCTATTTATAGGCTATTTACAGTTTCTTAGAAGATTCCTAACTAACTTCTTCCATTAGGCTCATCCTCGAGGCTTTTACCATAATGGGCCTGATCATCTTCAGGGGCTTTCAGCTTCACTCTTCAGCATTGGGCCTGCCTTATGAAAGCTTGGTTCGAGCCCAGGTCAATTACCAGGCCCATTCTTCATCATGTGAATTGGATCCGGCCCATGCCGCCTTTGGTATCCTCAATGTACTGAATAGAAATATTATGAATTAATATTTTAATTTTTACATATGCTGTTTTGGTTCAAATTATATATATATATATATATATATATATATATATATATAAAAATATACATACATATATTATTACTATTAAATATTGCCCCCACAGAAGAAAATTTCTGGCTACGCCATTGTGGGTGGCACTCTCAAGATCTAACCCATTTTGAATATACATCTCAACCCTAATTCCAAAACCAATTTTATCCTGAATATGCACCTCAATTCCAAAATTCACTTTATCCCCCACACACAGGACAATTCCAAAATCCATCTTAGCAACCCCATAGACACCTCAATTCCAAAATCCATCTCATCAACCTTTTCAATCATAGCCACTCTTATGGAAAAAGGTTTAAATTGGTCCGAAGAAGAAGATATAGCATTGTGCAAAGCATGGATCATGATTGGTGAAGATCCAATGATGGGTACAAATTAAAATAAGATTGCATTGTGGCAATGAATCCACACTCACTGAAGTAAAAAGAACACACACGGTTCTGATGAACCATTTTTCACACTTCCAACTTGAAGTAAACAAATTTTCAGGATACTACAAAAATGTCCATGATATTTCAACCAGTGGCTACAATTAGAAAGTTTTGGTAAGTTTTTTTACTTTATGCATTTTTTAAAAAATCTTAATTTTAATCCAAATTATTAATTTCAATTTTTGTTTATTTTTTTATAGATGGATACTATGTGAGAGAGCTCTATAAACTTTTTTTTTTTTTAAAAATACAAATTTAAATACGAGCACTGTTGGAATGTTCTTCAGGATACGTAAATATGACATATACATTGCAACACTTATAAAAATCCAACTAGATAAGCAAGGAAGTGATGTGTTGATATAAATATTAATGAGCTTGGAAATTGGTCCAAATCGACTACAACAAAACTAGGTTCATCAACTTCTGCAGTATCAACTCCACCTTCAGTAAACCTTGGAGATGACAACCCACCGGCCGGTACTGAAGATTCGAATATGTCACGCCTCGAGGGACGAAAAGCAGGGAAGATTAGTAAAAAGAAAATGACATCTATTGAAATAGAAATTCTTAGACAATTGGAAGCTATAACAAAACAAAGTGTTGTGTTTGGTGAAGTAAGTGTGGAAAGATAGCGATCCAGACTTCAACTTTCCATAGTGAGACAACGAATTAAGCAGCTGGAGATAGAATTAGGGCTGCAAATGAGTCGAGTCGAGCTTTGCCTTGTTTGGGCTCGGCTCGCTAGTGCTAGAAGGGTGCTCGGGCTCAAGCGAGCCTGGTCAAGCTAAGCTTAAGCTCGGCTCGCGAGAATTTTGGCGAGCTCAGGCTCGGCTCGGCTCGAGCTCGCATAGGTATCAAACAAAAGAAAAGAAAAGAAAAGAAAAATTCAAAAGTTTCAAATCTATATAGAGATGGAAGAAAATCTTGTCCTCTACTTTATGGACCTCCGATCTCCGATCATCTTCCTTAAGAAGTTAACAATAATAATGATTCCATCAACGCTAAAATGGGACTGAGAGACATGAGGGACATCTCTATTGGAAATCAGCTGTCGGAGATAGAGAAATAGAGATATCTCTGTTGAAGAATAATTGTTTGTGAGCAAAAGAGAAGGCAATGCTAAGTTGAAATGGATTATGGGTGTCGTTGAGGCGGTATATAATTAGGGTTTTCCTATCCAGTTCTGTATCTACAGAATACAATATATATATTTGTTAAAGAATCCAACGCTATGATGGGTTAATAGGTTAAATGGAGCTGGGCTTAATTGAATGTATGGGAGTTTGGGCTTACAATGAGTAAAATGGTTGCACTTATGAAAGATGTGTGAGTTTGGGTTAATTTCATATGGAATGGGCTTAAACAATTGCAAAAAGTTTTTATTTTTATTTTTAAAATGAGCCTTTCTAAACGAGCCTAATGAGCTGAGCCTAGCATTGCTCAAGCTTGGCTCGTTTACTAAACGAGCCTAAAAAATGTGCTCAAGCTCAGCTCATTTACTTCACGAACGAGCCGAGCCCGAGTTAATCATGAACTACTCGGTTCATTTGAAGCCCTAGATAAAATCAAATTTGGAAAAAGAACGGACTAAATAGTTGGAAATAAAAACGAGAGAAATGATGGCTGAATTGGAGTTTGAAAAAAATATAGTGCATCCAGATCTATCGAATGATCCAATAGAGGCATCAAAAACATGGATCATTCAACAACAAAATGCAATCTTAAATAAACTAAATTAAGAGGGTGGTCATATGTAATTTATTTTATTTGTGAAAAAAAAAATTTAATTCCTTTTTATATTTTTTTATTTTATCTTGAGAAAATATGTAATGTCTTTTTATTTATGCAACCCTCAAATTTGTTAAAAAAAAATTGTTCAATTCAAATATAAAATAGTTTTCAAGTGGTTGGAAAAATAGATGTTGAAGAAAACGCAAACAAACAAAAAAATAAATATATTCTTAAATTTTTTTACTCAAAATGTTAAATAGATTAAAAATATAAAAAATTAATAAAATAATAAATACTAGTTAACTCATATCGTGGCTATCCGCTAGCAATACACTGTGGCTAACCACGTCAACACAATTATTGCCTTAACTCCATATTTGTGGTTTTTCACTTTAAATTAAAATTTTCATATATGACATCAAAAATAATAAAAAAAAATGTAAATACTAAGTATGGGTGGACCGTGAACCCTTTTGAATATCTTTTTAGTTGTTCTTTATAACTCTTTCATTAATTATCATATTTAAAAAGGGTAAAGTGCAAAAAACCTTCCTGAACTTTCAGGCATTTGCACAAAACCCCCCTGATTTAACAAGTGCCCCCTGAACTATTAAAAAGTTGCAGTTGAGGACAATAGTGAAATTTCTGGTACCCGAAAAAAAAAGATTACTAAATTATCCTTTAACGAAACTAAGTAGTTTTGGTACTTTATAAACTTATGTTGCTGATGTGTCAAAACAAAATTTCAATAACCAATAAGAATTTAACAAATCATCATTTTATCACAAAACAACACCCCACACTTTGCATGGAACACCTATTCCCCACCTCATTTTAGTACTCCTTCCATTCTCATGGCTGCCACCAACCCTCTCCCACAAATTCTTCTTCCTCAATCACCTCCATCGTTCACAGCCCCCCAACCCCCTTCCCCTCTCCATTTTCCTTCTTCTCACAACACCCTGCTAACTCAAGAACCAAACCATGAAAGCGACAAAAATGGGTTTTGCCGTAACTTTTCTCTCTCTAACCTTAATCTCTCTCCTCGCCGTCACGGCGCCAATGATGGCTCAGGCTTTTGATTTTGCACTTCCAATCGCACCTTCAACACATTGATTGACTACGTGTCTCACTGAACACCACCCATCTCTCGACCATTAAAACCCTCTTCGGCGTCAAGAGACGCCGCACCCTCTTTGGTTTGAACAAACTCCCTCTCTCCACCTTACCCAACCAGTCCATTATAGCGAAGAAAACGATCAAATTCTCTACCTTGTCTTTGCACCAACCGGTAGTTGATTTACATGGTGGTCGCCAACAACAGCTTGGACCACATCACGAGGGATGTATTCTCGGTGCTGCTGATGTATCAGTAGATCTAGAACAGGAATGAGATTGCTAATCAGAACTTGATCGAAGTTAACAAAGAAATCTGGATTTCTGGATTTCTATGATGAAACGAGAAGGAGATGGAGGCAATTGTTCCAAACAAAGATGGCTATTTGGTCAGGATAGGATTTGAACTTTCGAAAACTGATTTGGGGTTCAATTTGGGAAAAAAAAAAGTATCATCAATTTGGAAATTTTGTTTTATGTTCTCCACATTCACATTCAATTATTCTAAACAGAGATGGCGATTTGGTAGGGATAGGATTTCAACATTGGACGATTGATTGTGTTCAATTTGGTGATCTCTTCAATTTGGAAAAAAAGAAAGAAAAGGAAAGTATCATCAAATTCGAAAATTTTGTTTTATTTATACATATAACAGTTCTGCTTTCCACAAACAAAAACCAAAGGACTAGAGTGAGGACTCAAATCCAGACTCCATAAATCCGAATCTTGATAGATGATCTCACGCCAATTCTTACATTCGGTCACCTTAACTAAGGAAGTCCTGCAAGGCCATTCTCTTGACTTGTAATAAGGTAGCAAGGGTAGCTTTGTCATTTTAAAATTACAGCCTATACATATGATGATTACACGCCTATTTAGCCAGAGGAGCCTAACGGAACTTTGCCAATGGGTAATTTTTGCAACAATTTTAATAGTTTAAGGGATTAACTGTCAAAATAAAAGTTCAGGCAGTTTTGAGAGAGAGAGAGAGTAAAGTTCAGGCATTTTTTTTTGTACTTTACCCTATTTAAAATAAAAATAAATTTTGAATTCTTTTTTCCTTTTTTTTTTCCGCATAAATTTGAATGTTCAACATGCCCCGTCTTTTCCCTCTCTCGTTTTCAAAACAAAACCTTTTCTTCCCATCAAATCTCTCTCCAATGAACCCTGAAAATCTACTCCAACAACCCCTCGCCACCCAGAAGTGCACCGTTGGCTGTCCGATCCTCGACCGCTTCCTCGGCGGCGGCGTCCCCTGCAACTCCGTCACGGAGCTCGTCTCCGAGAGCAGTTGCGGCAAAACCCAACTCTGCCTTCAACTCCTCATCTCCGCTCAGCTCCCCATCTCCCTGGGCGGCCTCGCCGCCTCTTCTCTCTACATCCACTCCGAATTCCCCTTCCCCTCTCGCCGCCTCCAACAACTCTCCCACTCCTTCCGCTCCTCACACCCCAACGTTTTCGGATCTTACGATCCCTGTGATCGCATATTAGTTCAGGCAGTACATTCCGCAGACCAACTGTTCGACGTATTGCAACGGGTCGATCCACTTCTCGCCAATACACCAAATCGCTTGCCCGTTAAGTTGATCGTGATTGATTCAATTGCTGCGCTATTTCGCTCTGAATTTGAGAACACCCCGTGTGATCTTAAGCGCCGTTCTTCACTGTTTTTCAAGATTTCGGGCAAGTTGAAGTCGCAGGCAAAGAGGTTTGGTCTTGCAGTTGTGCTTACAAACCAGGTGGTTGATTTAGTGGTATCACCTGAGGGAATGAATGAGCTAAAGGTTGGGAATTTGGGCTGTTTGTATTCGTCGGGGAGACGGGTTTGTCCTGCTTTGGGGCTATCGTGGTCCAATTGTGTGAATTCAAGATTGTTCTTGTCGAGAAATGAGGAGAAAGTCCGCGAGGACACTGGTCTGGTTGATGTGGGTGGTAGTGATTTTGTCAATAGACGAACAAAGCGGCAGCTTCATGTTGTTTTTGCGCCCCATTTGCCTGATTCGTCTTGCGAGTTTCTGATTGTGAGAGAGGGAGTTTTTGGAGTTGAAAGATAACGATTGGTTAAAGAGCTGAGATGGATCAGATGGTTTAGAAATGGATGTTTTTGAGTTTAATTTTACTTATTTAAGTGGGAAACTTGAAAAATGAGCAGCACAACTTCTTCCCTTGAATTCTGTTTGAGGTAAGTTTCCTATGAACAAACATCGGAGACTGGTATTTTTCGTATTGATATAGGATGATACTTGTAATTTCCCATAAATTGTATTTAGAAAGCGAAACATTTTTGCATACTCATAACTGTGTTGAGTAGTGGAGACCTTGGTTAATGTCTGGTTGAGTCAGAATGCTGCTCAAGTATTTAGTGAAGTATAGTGCTTTTTCTTTGACTATGGCTCATGAAATGCAATGAATAGGAAGTCAGCAAACAACTGCAAATAAAATAAGTTGTTTATGAACAACTCGGCATTACTTGATAAGATCTCACTTCGTGGTCTTTTTTTAAGTGAACGATCCAGAAACAACCCAAGTCCAAACAATCATTTACTCAGCTTATTTTCTTTAATAGGTGTTTGAGAATGGGCTTTGTTTAGGCTTGTAACAAGTGGTTTTTTCCCCTCATCAATCTTGACTTTGAGCTCGGTCTAGGTTTGAACTTGAGATTGGCCTATAGAGCCAAAATAGAGCTTGAACCCCCTTTCCTCTGAAAAAAAAAAATAATAATAAAAAAATAAATAAAATAAAGGAATATAATCTCGAACACTTTTAACTTAGTCAACAAGCTTGAGCAAGCCCAAACAAGTATATGATCGGCTCAGACCAGCCTTGATGGCAGTCCTGTCAACTCATTTGTAAATTATGAACCTTTTGCCATCTTATTGTTTCCCTAAATATGTACAATCATTTCTGTATTTTATAAATTAAAAGTCTGCATTTCAAAATATAAGGAGTTTTGTTGACCTCCTCTCGTGGTTAGAATAGTGGAAGTAGGATTGAACTTCAATTGCCTAAATCGATCAAATGAGCTCGAATAAGCATTATAAACCATGAGTTTTAGCTGCTTTTCTAGCTAATTTGTTTATTTCATATTGCAAATTATAGTGTGTATGTACTTTAAAAAAAAGTAGTAATAAGTTTTTACATACATTTTTTTTTAACAGGAAAGAACCAAATGCATACAAAAGCTGCAGTTGTAGGTTGACCATATATGCAAGCATTTCTTATTTGGTGAAAATTTGTACATTACTCGTTAGACATGGGATAACGGAATGGTGGGCAGTCAGCTGGTATAAGGAACTGAGAGCTTCTTTTGGTAAATGCATCAGATGCTGACGAGCAAGCTTTCAGCTGTGCTGGGTTCTGAAGGTGATAGGAAGGTTATTGCCAGCTAACATCGAAGTGGATGATACGGGGACGGTGAGAATTGAGAACTTGGAACTACTCATTCCTTTGGATTGGTCACTGATTGTTATGATTATCCATTTGGATTAGAATCATTTGGGAGAGGAAGGGGAGCTTCGGAGAGAAAGTTGGAGGATGTTTTGGCTTGGGTGCTGATAAAAGAAGAATTGACAAGACCCGTTGAGACATTTGAGAGATAACAGAGGAAGAGAAGGACAATGAAAGAGAACCCAGTCTCTTTTAAAGGCTTGAGGTTTGTAAAATGCTTGATGATGAAGGGAGAGGAGGGAGTGGATGGAATAGGGGCTAGGCCAGAAAGGAGAGGGGGTATAGTACTGTTGTTGACTGTTCACATCATGTCACGGAATGCCCGGGGGTGGACGGAAAAAGGGGAGGCAGAAGTCAAGGAATACAAGGATCCATGGTTGGTTGGCTTCCTCATACAGGAGAGTGAACCGCATTAGGAAAGTGATTATTGATGAAAAAGGAATTGAATACAGAGAGTTTGCAATGGAGATAGAAGCAGGTAGGGATGTGAAGTGGCTATTGGTTAGAGTTGGTAAAATTGTTAATCCTCTCGAGAGTTCTACCAAACCAGTGTGATTATTCACTTTCCTTCATTTTATCCCTTCATTTTTTTTTTTTTTTTGAAAAAAAAAAAAAAAAAAAAAAAAAAAAAAAAATTTATAGTGACTACCACCCTCGAATTTTATAGTGACTGACCATGAGAGTGTCGTTGATGTTTGTTAACGCCATTAGTGTCGAATATTGATTGTGCATAATAAATTACAGAGACAATGAATTTCATTTCTACTTTTCACCTTGTATGTGTCATGCTCTGCTCTATATGTTTAGTGGGGAATTTTAAATTTTAATGGTGTTTTTTATAGGGAGAGTTTAGTTGGGGAGGCACTCTTGAGTGATCATAACTCTACTCACTACCCGTCTTAGAAATTAAAAGATGCAAGCAAAATTAACGATGGAAAAAAGACCCAAAGGCAACAGCAAAACTTTCTGAAAGATACAGAGGTGTCGTGACAATGGGATGTCGGATACTTAAAATTATTTTGATTGGTTACGAAACTTTATATTGGAAAATTTGTAGGAGGGATAATTGAGGCCAAAAACTACAAAATAGAAGTTGATGAATAAATATTTCTCTTAAAAATGGATAATTTTTATGTATTATAACTAACTACAAGAGATAAAGATCTTACGAACTCAACATGGATATTAAAAAAAATAAAAATAATTGTTGTGGTTTTGTGGAGTCTGATTAGGTGGAAGATTTTTAGGAAGATTTAATATATGGAAACTTAAAGAGTACTGAATTTTAGGAAAAATTCAGTTTCCTAATCTGTTAAGGAAAATTTAGTTTCCTAATCTGATTTGACTTTCTTATTGGTTTATGGAAAATTCAGTTTCCTGATCTGATTTAATTTTCTTATTGGTTTTGGATTTTACAAAAGACAAGTTCTTGTAGGATAAGTTTGGGACTCTATAAATAGGGGTAAAAATTAGAGATAAATTTGTGCCAATACAAGAGAGAGCAATTGAGAGAGATTGAGAGAGAATTCTCCTTGTAATTCTTTATCATTTTCATAATAAATTTGTTCGATGTGCTCCATAGATGTAGCCCTAAGATTTGGGTGAACCATATATATCTTGTGTTCTTGTGTGTGATTTTTTTATTCTTCGTGATTGCTTGTTTATTCCTTAAACAATGTTGTTTATTTTGCGTTTCCGCTACAACAACTGGTATCAAATCCAGTTGATTGTGTAGTGCAATTCTAACAACTGGTATCAGAGTCTTTGGTTGAGAACCTAGGGCATAGAAGGTGTTTGACGAAATTCCGAAAGTTTTTTGATCAGATCTGTCCGTTTGAGTGGGAGTAATGGCATCAGAAGATAAGACATTCACATCAATGATGGAGAAGTTCGATGGCACAAACTTCAGTTTCTGGAAGATGCAAATTGAAGACCTCTTGTTTCAGAAAAATCTGTATCAACCTTTGAGAGAGAAGCCAGAGGATACAAAGGATGCAAAATGGGAATTACTTGATAGGAAGGCTCTTGGCATCGTTAGATTGACGTTGTCAAAGTCAGTTGCCTTCAATATCAAGAACGAGAAGATGACGAAGTCTCTCATGGCAGCCCTTTCTAATATGTATGAACAGCCTTCTGCAGCGAACAAGGTGCACTTGATTAATAAGTTGTTCAACATGAAGATGGTCGAACGTGGTAAGTTCAACGAACATCTAAATACGTTTAACGAGATAGTTGGGCAATTAGAGTCTGTTGATATCGACTTCAAAGACGAGGTCCGAGCACTGCTAATTCTTGGGCAGTTACCTGAGAGTTGGAGTGGCACAGTTACAGTGATCAGTAGCTCCGCAGGAAAGACTAAGTTGAAGTTTGATGAAGTTGTGAACATGATTTTGACTGAAGAAATTAGAAAGCAAACAACAGGGGTTTCCACCAGTGGTTCGGCGTTGAATGTTAAAAGCAGAGGCAAGGGTTCAAACAAGAAGAAGGGCAACAGTAATAAAACCAGAGGCAGATCCAAGTCAAGGAATGGAAGGACACAGTCTCAAAATTTTAAGAATTCCATATATCTTAGTGATGTTGAGTGTTGGAATTGTGGAAAAAATGGACATTACCGTGTTGATTGCAAACTTCCAAAGAAGGGAACCGAAAGAAAAACTGAAGCAAACTTTGTCTCAGAAGAATCAGATGATGCATTGATATGCTCTTTGGAGAGCAAGGCGGAGTCATGGGTTTTAGATTTTGGCGCATCGTTTCATGGCACCTCAAACAAATAGCTATTTAATAGCTATGAACTGAGTAACCTTGGTAAGGTGTATCTTGGTGATGATCAGCCTTGCAACGTCGTTGGCAAAGGTGAAGTGCAAATCAAGTTGAATGGGTTAGCTTGGAAGTTGAAGGATGTGAGACATATCCCTGACTTGAGGAAGAATCTGATTTCGGTGGGACATTTGTCAGATGAAGGTTTTGTTACAACCTTTAATGGAGACTCGTGGAAAGTTTCCAGAGGCGCTATGACTATTATTTGGCACTCTCTACACAACTACCAGTGCTTGTGGGTCTATAGCAGTTGCAGAAAACAGAGAAGATCACAACCTTTGGCACCAAAGACTAGGTCACATGAGTGAAAGGGGGCTCAAGATTATGCACTCAAAGGGGAAATTACCAGGCATACGGGCAATTGATATTGACTTCTGTGAGAGTTGCGTGATGGCCAAGCAGAAGAGGGTCAGTTTCAAGAAGAGTGGCAGAGATCTCAGAAAGGAGAAACTTGAGTTAGTTCACACAGATGTTTGGGGGCCAACCACTGTTTCATCCATTGGCGGAAAATCCTACTTCGTGACTTTCATTGATGATCACACGAGGAAGGTATGGGTTTATTTTTTGAAGCACAAATCTGAGGTATTTGATGTGTTCAAGAAGTGGAAGGCCATGGTGGAGAATGAGACAGGTTTGAAGATCAAGAGGTTGAGATCAGACAATGGTGGTGAGTACGAATACACTGGGTTCAAGAAGTTCTGTTTTGATAATGGGATCAGATTGAGAGGACTGTGTAAGGAACCCCACAACAGAATGGGATGGCAGAACGGATGAACCAAACATTGACAGAAAGAGCCAGAAGTATGCGCATACATCCGGGTCTACCCAAATAGTTTTGGGCAAAAGCGGTCAATACAACATCCTACCTAATAAATCGTGGACCATCGGTGCCTTTGGAGCATCGAATACCAGAAGAGGTATGGAGTGGCAAAGAGGTAAATCTTTCATGGTTGAAAGTTTTTTGTTATATTGCATATGCCCATATTAGTGACTATGCTAGGGGAAAGCTCGACCCCAAGTCACTAAAATGCATTTTCGTTGGGTATGACGGAGATGAGTTTGGTTATCGACTTTGAGATAATCAGAATAAGAAAATCATCAGAAGTAGAGATGTGATTTTCAACGAGAAGGTGATGTACAAGGATAGAGATACAGCACAGTTAACTAGTTCTGTACAGAGTAAGCCTGAGTTTATTGAGTTGGATGATGATCCAGAGAGCATTGATGCGGAGCAGACAGATGAGGGTTCTTGGCCAGAACTCACAGAGCATAGTTCACCGTATATTCCAACTCCTATGCCTGCACCCAAAAGGTCTACGCAACCTCATGTACCGAATAGGAAATATTTGGATTATATATTGCTCACAGATAATGGTGAGCCCGAATGCTATGATGAAGCATGTCAAGTTGAAGATGCTAGCAAGTGGGAGCTTGCAATGGAAGATGAGATGAAGTCCCTTATCTCTAACAAAACATGGGAACTATCCAAGTTGCCCATGGGGAAGAAAGCTCTTCACAACAAATGGGTGTACTGGGTGAAAGAGAAACATGATGGTTCCAAGAGATACAAGGCGAGAATGGTGGTCAAAGGCTTTCAGCAAAAGCAAGGTATTAACTACACATACATTTTTTCCCCGGTTGTGAAACTGAGTACCATTCGCTCAGTTCTTAGCATTGTTGTAGCAGAGGGGTTGCACCTTGAGCAGTTAGATGTCAAAACTGCTTTCCTCCATGGTAACCTTGAGGAGGAGATTTACATGCAACAACCGGAAGGTTTCTCAGTCAAAGGGAAAGAGAAACTAGTGTGCAAGTTGAAGAAAAACTTATATGGTTTGAAGCAAGCCCCGAAGCAGTGGTACAAGAAGTTTGATGGTTTTATGAAGCGACATGGCTATAACAAGTGCAATGCTGACCATTGCTGCTACTTCAAGAGGTTCAAGTAAAGTTTCATTATCCTTCCACATTATGTTGATGACATGTTAGTGGCAGGTTCTGATTTTGAAGAAATTAGCAAATTGAAGAAGTAGTTGTCTAGTGAATTCGAGATGAAGGATCTTGGTGCAGCGAAGCAGATTCTTGGGATGAGGATTAGCAGAGACAAACAGAAAGGTACTTTGCAGTTGTCTCAGGCTGAGTACGTTGAACGGGTTCTGAAAAGATTCAACATGAATAATGCTAAGGCGGTGAGTACTCCCTTAGCTAATCACTTCTGATTATCTCAAGATCAGTGTCCGAAGACAGAAGATGAAAAAAACTTTATGGCTAAAATTTCATATGCTCAGCAATTGGAAGTTTGATGTATGCCATGGTGTGCATAAGACCAGACATTGCATATGCAGTAGGAGTAGTAAACAAGTTCATGAAGGATCCGGGCAAGCTACACTGGGAAGCAGTAAAGTGGATATTGAGATATCTATGGGGTACCACAGACAGATGCCTATGTTTCAAAAGGGGCGAAGTGAAGCTACATGGCTATGTAGATTCAGACTTTGCTGGCGAGGTGGACCACAGAAGAAGTACTACCGGGTATGTGTTCATGGTGGGTACAACTGCAGTTAGTTGGGTTTCGCAAACACAGAGGATTGTAGCGTTGTTTACTACAGAGGCAGAGTATGTGGCGATGACAGAGGCTAGTAAAGAGATGATTTGGTTACAAGGTTTGTTGACAAAGTTGGGATTCGAATAGGAGAAGAATGTTTTACACAGTGATAGTCAGAGTGCGATGCATCTGGCAAAGAATTCAACATTTCATTCAATGACCAAGCATATAGGACTTCGGTATCACTTTATCAGATCTTTGTTAGAAGATGGGGTGTTGACACTTGAGAAAATACTTGGCACCAAGAATCCGGCTGACATGTTGACCAAGGCAGTGACCATGGAGAAACTGAAGTTGTGCACAACTTCAGTTAGTCTTTTAGCTTGAAGACAGAAAGAAGCGCATCGACATGTATG